ATATATGCTTCCTAGATTGATTTTCCTTATGCATGATCACTTCCTACTCTAAACTCTCACTCCCTTACTATTTTGTACAATTAACAAATAACCAACCCTCATAAATTTCAAAAGAAAACTATTTATACCAATTATAGAATCTGACTCAGGCACTTGAAAGGTTGGCACCACGGTGTTATAATAATGAACCAGCTTTTTGGTGCTCTATTTTTGTGCTCTGCTACGGCGTTAGGTTTAATCAATGTGATGTTTCGCATTGAATTTCTCTAAATCACATGCCATAGCACTATGGTGTAGAACAAAGACAGGCGCTACAATGCTCGGGTAGGCAATTTAGCACTATGGCGCTTCAAATATTAGCACCAGGGAATTGAATTATTTTCCAACTGATAGAACAGTTAGTGCAAAAAAAATGTTTAAATATGGCGTTAGGGCACTGCTAATGCTATGACATTGAGTTAAATTGCAAAATTCTTAAACTTAGAGTGTTATAGTGTTTCCATAGTTGGCCAGGGCATTGATGAAGCTACAGTGTTGTTGGTCAGAGAGTCGTGACACCAGTGGAGACTTTGATATTTTTGGCTTTTCCTGATTTCCCTGCACAACATCAACTAAAAGAAATATTTTCACAAGAATTTATGCACAAAACACAACCTAATTTTCACCTAAAAAATCTCAACTGTCGACCAATTGGTCTTTAATCTTTATAGTACCATCATTGTTTATAAATCTTAAATCAATTCACAGGTGGCTTTCAATAAATCATTAAGAGTTGCCACCCTCTGCCTATCGACGTAAATCGATAATCGATTATAAGCTATAATCAGAATTACACCACAAATATTTTATTTTAATAAAAACTCGTAGTCCACCCTCCTATACACGCCATTATATTTAAGAGCCAACATGTATTAATTATAGTGTTGATAATTAGCCTTCATTGCTTACATATAAATGTCATATTTATTTTATAATAATCATATCATTTTATCTATGCAATATAAGTTGATATTATGTATGAAATACACTAATATATAAAATTCAGAAAAATCTATAAAATCAGTATATTATGTATTAACTTCATAAAATCATAATTTTCAATTTATTTGGTAAAACTCGTTAATATTATAGAAAAAATGTTCATAAGCATCATATCTATCACATACAAAAAGTTACACGATGAAAGCTTGATAAAAAAAATTGGCGGATTTGGGAGAGATAAATCATTAGAAATCAAAACCATCGAAAACATAAATAAGAGTATAGTTATTTACTTCAATTATCATAAAACTCCTAACATAAGCGATGAACGAAAACACCTCGAAGCACTTACTCTCTTCTCTCCATCCTTGCTTTGTTCTTCTCCTTTCTTTCCTTCCCCGCCAAGTCACAAAATAAGAGTGAGGAAGGGTGGTGGGCCGGATGGTATGGATATTTAAATGAAATTATTAAAAAAATCATTTTTAGTGCCATCATTGTGGCACTCACAATATAGTGTTATAACATTGCATGCTGCCCCCAGAGTTAATATAGAATAGAGCCTTCAATGTCACTACAGTGTTTTCTAGCATCGTACGTAGCATTGCATGCTAGATCATATTTTCATGTTTTCAAACAAATTCATATTAAACTTTTAGGTTATTACAAGTCATCCTCTCAAAAATTATGCTATTTCTTCTTCAAAACATGCATAGAAGTCTCCTAACAAATTCTCCTTGATGGTTAATAAACCCACTCAAATGATTGCATTCTAAGCAAGAATGATTCACTCCTTAGCATATAAGGCCAGGAACCACTGGTTTTGTTACAACCTATTAGATAATGTGTAGGAGGGAAAAAATAACATAAGATTTGAAACCTCCGCTCTTGAAACTAACTCATGAAGTCGAAAAAAATATATTAAATATATGATGTAGAAGCTTTTGAGAAGAACATATATAAATGACTGTTGGCAACTATTGAAAATTATGCAAAGTATATTATTAAAAAAATATCTTATGAATTCTCTGCGTACTTATAAGATTAAACATTATAAAATCACCCATTCTTACCAATTTTCTATTATAATTATAATAAATACAAAAACATACCCGCTTAACAAAGATGAATAATTTTCTAGATCATTATATAATATATGATCAATTAATTTCATAATTTATTAGGGGTATCAAATAATATAATTTGCACTGTATACTTACAATTATTAGCTGGTAGATAATATCTTGTTAAATAAGATATTTCACTTGGATAAAAGACGTGATCCATACAAAAATGGGGATATAATGCCATTTATTTTTAAAGAATCTATTCAATATGTGATTAATTATATATATATTTAAATATTTCTATCATACTTCTCCTCAAAGTTTTTATTTTTGCACCCTTGAAAATATCATTTATGAGAGTTATTACCGACTAATAATGCCACAAAAATATTTTGTATAATATTTAAAATAGTTTTCTTCAAATCTATAAATATAAGGCTTTTTTATTTCTTTGGTACATTTAAAGATATTTTTAATAGAAATTTGGGAGATTTTCTCACACGAACAATCTTTTTATAGCTTGTGCCATTGCTACCTAGTGACATTACTATTCCCACTATTTATGAAAGAAACAGACTATATCATATGTAAAAAAGTTTCTGGTTAAACATCTATCGGCTACAGTCATGCAATAGTTGCAGCTCCGAATGCACTACACTGACAACAACAACATCGCTTGGCATACTCATCATCAATGATGATTGTTACTTTCCAATCATGAGCATCATGCATATTACGATAACAACATTTGATTCACAACATAGATGATGTTGACCTTGTCACTTATGTCTCTTAATAAAAGACCACCTTGTCATATTAATTGATGATGAACATTTTTTTAGCAAAAGACAACTAAAAATTTTATGACATTTAAGACTGAAATAAACAATGGATTATGAAATCTCTTATAACTTTTTAATATAGATCAAGTATAGTCTAGAAAATAAAAAAAAAAAAACACTAAATTGTTTATAATTTTTTCCCTGGAAATCACCATTATAATTATTAAAATTATTATAATATTTAGTACTTTGCAATTTTGAAAACAAAAAAATTAAAATATTTCAAAGAAAAAAGGCTAGAATATTTCACCAAGATTTGATGAAAAATAATATTAAATTATTAATTTTTATATTAATATAAAATATTAATATTTTTATCAAAATAGACCCGAAGCGCTGTTGGAAGGTTCAAACAGCAATTTGAGTTACCAAACGGTCTCCGATTTTAACGAGCTTAAACTCGAATCGAGCGGCTTGACGAGACGAATCCAACGAGCCCAAAATCACCGAATTCCGACATCATTAAGGCCTTCAAATGTCCAACGAACGGTGTATGATCAAAGGATTCGATATCGGCCGTCCATCCAAACCACTCACAATTCGCCCCTGATCTCACACCTATTTACGGGCTATGCCACTCCAGAAAAACTATAAATAGAGCCCTCATTCTTCACAAAGGAGAGGGAAGTGAAGAGAGAGAAGAAGAAGAGAAGAAGAGGAGAAAGGGGAAATGGAGAATCCTCTCCTCCTCGACCACCGCCGGAGCTCTTCCCGCCGCCCGAACACGCCGGGATTCTGCCGGATATTTGGGAGAACGCCAGAATTCTTCCCAACTTCTACGGGATGTAAAAATTCTTCTCAATTAACGACAGAGTTCCCTCCTGACGTCAAAACTCCGCCCAAGTGAGGCCGGAGTTCTCCTCTGCCACCAACAGACGTCGGATTTCTACCTGACGTCGCACCTTCACTCTTCTCCAAGTTTCTACCCGATGCCAGACTTCTACCGGTTATCAGACTTCGCTGGATGTCTACGCGAAGATGGATTTCTTTCCATTGTTGGACTTTTACCTGACACTGTCCTTCTGATCTTCGTCGTCCGCCGACTATGGTCCTCCTAACTTATGCCGCCCGCCGAATACAGTTTTTTCAACCTCCGTCGCCTGCCGACTATGGTCTTCTTGACTTATGTCGCCCGTCGACTACAGTTCTTCCAACCTCTGTCGCCCGCCGACTACGGTTCTTCTTACTTACATCGCCCACCGACTACAGTCCTTCTGACCTCCTTCGCCAACCGACTATGGTACTCCTGACATACGTCCCCCACCGACTACAAGTCTTCCGACCCCCGTCGCCCTCCGACTACGGTCCTTCCGACCAAACGAACATGTCAAGACTACAGTCTTCCCGACCTCTGTCGCCCGCCGACTATGGTCCTCCTGACTTATGTCGCCCGCCGAATACAGTTTTTTCAACCTCCGTCGCCCGCCGACTACGGTCCTCTTGACTTATGTCGCCCGTCGACTACAGTTCTTCCAACCTCTGTCGCCCGCCGACTACGGTTCTTCTTACTTACATCGCCCACCGACTACAGTCCTTCTGACCTCCGTCGCCAACCGACTATGGTCCTCCTGACATACGTCCCCCACCGACTACAAGTCTTCCGACCTCCGTCGCCCTCCGACTACGGTCCTTCCGACCAAACGAACATGTCAACAATAACTCTTTGTATTAACATCATATAATGTACTCCATAAGATGTACATCAAGCTAAGACCTTCCACCAAGGAAGGACCTAATTTGTAATCAACTAGAATACTAGTGGATTCATTCAAACTGGGCTAGGCCCCGTGGTTTTTTTCCCTTTTTCAGGGGTTTTTCACATAAAAACATTGGTGTCTCATGTGAATGCTAAACCCTCTCTCCTTATCTAATTGCGTGCCGGATTTTCGTACAACACTAAGACGTTAAATATGATATTTCTCTATCGCCGCGAATACTCTTGGACACAACAATACTAATTTTAAAAATTATTCATAAAATTTAAATGTTTATAGTAATTAAAAATTTTATCAGAATCTACATATAGATTTTTTCCTTTTTTTTATTTGATAAAATCTTCCAACGCATTTTGTGAATGCCAATTGGCTTATTTTCACGGATTTTCAGCCAGCCTGACCCACATCCTCCCCATAAGAAACGAAGACTCCGACAATCTCACGACAAACGGGGCCTAATAAGCGGCTTTGAGGCGGTGCTCGCGGCGTTGAGGCGGTGCTCGCGGCGTTCGGCGGTGAGCGATGGATAGGACCCAATATTTGCAGCAGTTCGTTGATGAGACGGGCTGGTACAACAGCATTGTTCTCGGCTTGATTCTGCCGGAATGGATTTGGCGGCCTCTGCCTTTTCCGCTCCAGTCCTGGCTCCGAAACTACATCGGTGGCAGTCTCCTTTACCTCGTTTCCGGATTTCTTTGGTGCTTCTACATCTACTATCTCAAGCGCAACGCTTACATTCCCAAAGGTTTTTGTTTTCTCTTTATCCTATAATCACGCTTCGTTAGGTTTTGCATGATTTGTGTGTTTTGGGTTAGTGCGGATTTGAAGGAGATGTGGATATTTGTGGACATGTTTGTGCTTTTACATTTTAACTGTTAATTTGAAAATTTATGTGATGAGGCTTTTAAATTTTGATGTGTTTTCTCTAATTTTTTTATTCCTTAAACGACGTCCTGTTGCTCATTCTTTGTTTAACATTCATCTCTGGTGATTGTGAAATGATGAGTTGGTTGCTTAGTTATTTTTGTTGAGGAATATGAGGGTGTTAAAGTTGCTGGTGCTGAGTAGTTAAACTTATATTTGGTAAAAAAACAGCAAGGCTTGGCCTTCACTTTTAAATTCAGGACTTCAGGTTAAATTGAATTGATAACAATATATGGTTTAATTTCGAGTGGACAATCTAAAGAGTTTGGATCTATGTTGTGGAGATGGAGAGGGAGAGAATGAGCTTGGGAGGCTGAGAGGAGAGTAATGTTTTAAAACTCTTTTTTTTTGGTCCTGTTAAAATAGTTGCAATAGTCCTCTTCTTCTAAAGCAAAAGCCAAGATAACATGAAAATATAAAGCATTTCTCGATAGAATAGATTGATCATAAAAATATATTAATTAAAAAAGTATCTTATAATATCTTGCAAGATTCTTGCTAATTGAGATATATTGTGAAAAATAAACTTGTTGTTATAGGGTATCATAAAAGGAATAATTGAAAATTAAATAAAATATTATCTCACTAAAGTTGAAGTATTTATAAAATAATTTCAAAAGCTTCTAACATTCCTTTAATCTTGGGATGCCTTTGCATCCCTTCAATCAATGGAAACCAAGGGAACATCATGTGCCTAACCAAGCTTATAATTGCAAATGATGTGTGCCCGCCCTCTTAGTGCACATCCCTCATGGTGCCCCTGATCGTTTGCTATCGCTAGCAGACTTAAGATGATATTGCTGACTATAGTGATATACAGAACTCGTGATGTAGTTGACCCAAATGATGTGGTCGATCTATGTTGTTTTTGTATATTAAAATGATTCAACAAACCTAATTGTAGGTTGATGTAGCAAACCCTTAGGTGTAGCCGATATAATGTAGCTTAATGTAGCCATCCTTCAGGATAGTGTCACCTATATATGCCTTTGGGCTTCCCTTATTTGATCCTCCTGGATCATTTTAGAATGTCAAATTTTGCCACTATATGATTAAACAAGTGTAATTGGACAAATGTAATCTAGTATGGAATGCATGCAATTAGATAATTATACCAATTGTTCTTCAACTACTTACAAGTGATTGATGATAGACATGCAACTAATATTGAGCAAATATGTATTAAATAGAACTTGATTACAGTGAAATGATTGAAGTATGTTAATCATATTAGATATTTAATTTCTACATAAATAACTAAACAACAAAGAAATAAAAGCTATGAATGATCCAACCTACGATGTTTTTAAGGTTACCAGGTGAAGCGGGGATAAGTTAAAGTCAATCTCTACGAATTGTCCGTTGTCACTAATATCTTGCTCCTTTCTTAATAGTCTTTCTTTAAGAGCGGTGACTCACACACTCAAGTAATTCTTCACTTGGGAGTAAAGGTACATAAGAAGGCTAGAAAACTTAGAGGGAAATTTTTTTCATTCAATCACTAAAAACCTTGATATTAGAAATGATATTTTTCTATTAGATTTAAATGAGAATTTGACTTTTAACAGGACACAATCGAGAAAAAGGATTTATGTAGCCGACTCCATATAGTGAGACAAAGGCTTGATGTTGTTATTTAATCACTAAAGCCTAACATTGTAGGAGGCTCCCTTATTCATAGAAACAAGAAGTAGATACTAAAATAAAGAAACCTATCTCCAAAATTAAACTTCCTAGTAAAAATTTATGTATTATCATTTTATTCATATCTACCATCATTATGACATGTGCCTTCATTATCACATCAACCATCACACCTACCGTAATTTCTATACCATCATTATTATACCTTTCATCAAACTTAATAATATAATAAATCATGACATAAAAAATGGCCTAATACTGCTACGAATCCTATAACATAAGATCCCTTTATTGGTTATGGCACAAAAAAAAAAACTTATACATATATGTCCAAAATTATAACATTATGATATAAAGATCTTACAATATAAGGGTCCAAAATATTACCATATATTTCTTAGATACACAAATACTAGATTTTAGGATGACAACAATGATGATGACAATGTCTTGCATCAACACTCTCCAGCTTCATAGGATTCTCCTTTGGAGAATGAAATCTCGATAATTTGATTGAAATTATTTGCTTAATTGATATAACTCATTGAAAGTAAGCTAAATCCTCAAGTGGAAATAGAACTTGCCAAGGAACCACGAACTTTTTGATGCCTTAATTAGATGTGATTATAATTTGATCATCTAAAATTTGATTTGGACAATAATATCTTACATATGGGGTGACAAAGTGGTCGATGGAGTATTAACTATATGTTTGCACTATTTATAGAAGGAGTAATGTTATCCAAGGTTTACCCATGATATACAATAAAACTGATATGTTAAATATGAGCGAAATCCATCATTTGTTAAAAGATATACCTTATAAATATTATCTGTTAACTTCCACATAGCTCTATAGCGACGGAATTTCTTGAGGGTTAACTTTTTAAGAGTTCTAGTTGAAAATATCTCAATTCTAATACTTGTTATGAATTAGGATGTAAATGCATTAGACCTTTATGAAATAGATAAATCTATATGATCAATTGGTTTTCTTCGTACATAGTAATAATATGAAAGGACTCATGCTGGTCGACCTATTAATAAAAAGATTATAGGCAAACTATTTATGGAAAAAAAGTCCGAATTCGCATTATGATCGGTCACTAAATACTCAAGTCTCCTAAACTCTTATTGACAACTTCAATTTGATCGTCAATATGAGTGTGATAGGTAGTGGAAAATAAAATTATGTGTCAAGTTTCTTCAATAAGATTTTCTAAAAATAGCTCATAAATCTCATTAGCTGTGACAATTGTCTTATGAAGTCCATGTAAATGGACTATCTTACAAAAGAAGATAGATGTTATATGTGATATTATTGGATTTCTTATAGCATTTAATGAATGCCATTTTTGAAAAACTATCAACGACTAACAAGATGGAGTTGAAGCACTCTTAAGATAAAGTTCATATTAAGATCATTATATTATCTATGGGAGATTGGAAGAGATATCTATAGATCAAAGTTATATTTACCATTTCTTTACCATCTAGCATTTGAGCAAAAATAGCGATACATTTGTCTTAAATCTAGGCCAACGATCCTATCCTTCATTATTGTTATTGTCTTATCACAATCGAATTGACTAGATATGTCCCCTGATTGCATTTCCTTAATGAGAAAATCTCAAGTGGTGAATCATGAATGTATTGATGCATTCCTTGAAAGAGAATTATTTTGTCTTTGATGATCAATATTAACAGTAGGTGCATCAAATATTAGGGTGATATGTGAGAATATAATTAAATTATGAGTGGTTTTTGCTGGATAATGTGATATGTGAGAATATAATTATTTTTTTAAGAGAGGTTATAGATACATCATATATTTAATTATTCTCCAAGACATATTTATGGATAAAACATTGCCATTGTCAAGTCCTAAGTCCTAGATGAGAAAAGTGGAGGGTTGCGTTAGGTAGTCGACAACTAGCATATAACTTGTCGAATATTCATGACATGAATCTTTTAATACATTGTGTTAATGCTTTGATGTTCCTTGGAAGCGATGCGTTATATGACTTGAATATAGCGAGAAATGTGCAAGGACCGCTATATCGACGCCTGGATACAGTGTTAAATAGGCAATAGCAACGTTTTCAAAATCGGACCGGACCGGCCGGTTCAACCGGTTGAACTGCCAACCGGCCGGCCGGCCGGTTACGGTCAGCTAAATAATCGGAATAGCAGAGAACCGCGATTGAACCGGTCGAACCGCTGGTTCGACCGCCGAATCGGTCGAACCGCTGGTTCGACCGCCGAACCGGGTAACCGGCCTCGTTTTAAAAAACCGGCCGGTTCAAATCCTGAGCTTTTTGAGCCATCCGATTTAATCCAATGGCTTAGAAAAAAAGAGATCTTATAAGTTATAACAAAACAAACAAAACCCTATTCCCTTATTTCGGTATTTCGCTCCAGACTCTAGTCGCGGCTCTTCTCGGACAGGACGACGGAAGAGGGACGGAAGCTCTTCTCGGACGGGACGAAGGTGATCGAACACATTGAACGCTCCCTTCTCTTGGTGAAGTTCTCCACTCCTACCCATTGTGAGTTTTTTAAATTCTATGCAGTTTTCCCGTTCTCCTGTTCTCCCGTTCTTTGCTGTTGTTCTCCCGTTAATTTCCATATTTCTTTTATGCTGTTGTTAATTTTCATTCTTGGGACTGTTTAATGCATTTTTATGATTTAAATTTTTGATCAACTGCTTTTATGTATTTGGTGAACCCTATTCATTCTTAACTTCTTTTATGTTGTTGTTAATTTTCGATTAACTGCAGCATCTAGGTAGATTGTCAATTTAAATCAAGTTCTCCTTGAATATCATCCTCGGCTCTCCCTTCTCGGGCACATCTTTTTTTGGGTTCACTACTTATTGTATTGATTGCAAAGCTAAACAATGCCCCAAGGTTTCTTCTTGAGCCTTTTGCCCCTTGGTTACTTTTGACTGAGATACTTCTCTTCCTTTTTCCAATTCCCATCAAATCCCGCACATCTATTTATGATTGTTTTGACTTCTATTTATGATTTATAATACTTGTGTAAATACTGTAAGTGCACTTATACTTTTCTCAGTTCATTAAGCTTGACTGAAATTTGACTTCTATTTATTTGCTATTGATATTGAAAGATGCAAAATTAGCTATTGATATTGAAAGATGCAAAATTAGCTGACTC